TCCTCCTGTTTTAGCACCAACTTCACTGTAATTGTTTCTTTTAGCCCAACTAAACAGCCACTCCGACAGGTCTGCTCTTCCGACAAGTTGGTGTATGCAGCTCCGGAGCACAAAGAAGATGGGACAGGACCAGACCAAGCAGCAGATAGAAAAAGGACTCCAATTGTATCAGTCCAGTCAGACAGAAAAGGCCCTTCAAGTCTGGTTGCGGGTTTTGGAAAAGAGCACAGATGCAGCTGGCAGGTTTCGAGTTCTGGGATGCCTCATCACTGCTCACTCGGAGATGGGCAGGTACAAAGATATGTTAAAGGTAAAGCATTCTGATTGGCCGCATGTCTTTTTCTCTTGCTAGATTACGGAGAGGGTGGTGGGTAGAAAGGTAGGGCTCCAGATTATGGTTCAGCCACAATTGAACAGCAAACGTAGCACTGGTTGGGATTCTTTTAAAATTGCAGACCCTGAAGCCCTGACAAATACTTACCTTTGGAAATCACCATTCTGCATTTCCACCTGCAGTCCTAGATCTCATGAGCAATCTATAAAGGTTTCTCACCTGCAGAATTAAGTATGTTGGGTGTTGTGGCACGACATAACCGCGAACGTCAAAAGCATGCCGACAAAACCGCGGCGCTAAAACCACACCGACAACAGCGCGCCGACAACAGCGCGCCGACAGAAGCACAATTTAAGTTAAGGTAAGGGTTAGGGTTAGGGTTATTTTTAGGGTTATGTTACAGCGCGCTTCTGTCGGCGCGCTTCAGCGCTCATTCGTCTCCGCGGTTTTGACGGCGCGGTTTTGTCACTGCGCTTTAGTCACACGCGCTTTTCTCGTAAGCGCATTTGTGGTGGAACCGTTGGGTGTTACATTGTTAGCCATTTGCATGTGTACCTGGGGGGTTGTGTGGTTTTGCAAAGCTGAGACACTATATGCTGCAGCTGTCCTTTATTTTGTAGAATTGTCAGCTGTGTAAAATAACTGTAGGTTAAACAGTATGTGTGTGTGTACACAGACACACAAATTCACACACAGTTTATACTGTGATGCCAGGATTAGGGTTAGGGTTTTTTCAACATTATTTATTTGAACGGAACATTCTCTTTTTCTATTCAAAATAACTTTCACAATGTGATGGTTGCCATAGAAGCCATCCAGATTGCTTTTCAAAGTGAGATGGTTGGTGCATAAATCTAATAAATAGATTTGCTGAGTTGTTTTCTATTAAATGTTGCTTTGAAAGATTTAAATTCAAGATCTTCTTACTTTTGGGTAAATTCTGCAGAAATCTTTCATCATTTTCAATATACATTGTGTTGAATCCAAAAATCTTTTCTTTTTAATTATTATTTCTGTTTGAGGAGTGAGGAGTTTTACAAGGCAATCTAGAGATCCATAGTTGAAATAAGAAGGGGTTCTGATATCTTGGCAAGGAAAAAGATATAAGATAGAGAATTTAGAAGAAGCACACAAATTCTATGAAGAACACTGTAATAGGGAAGGAAAACAAGGAAGCAAAGGGGAACTAGAACTCAGAGGTCAAGTGGAAGAAACATCAGAAGACAGCGAAAGAAGCAGGAGAGAANGGGGGCAATATGCTGACTCTGTAAACCGCTTAGAGAGGGCTGAAAGCCCTATGAAGCGGTATATAAGTCTAACTGCTATTGCTATTGCTATTTAGAAATATTGTCAGCTACATGTAACTTTTCCTCTTCTGGGTATAGAATCCATGCACAATTTAATTGGGTTGAAAGATAAGGTGAGTCCTTTTCTGTACAGGTAGTCTTCGACTTACGACTACAGTTAAGCCCAAAATTTCTGTTGCTAACTGTTCAGCGAGTTTTGTCCCATTTTACAACCTTTCTTTCCACAGTTATTAAGTGAGTCACTGCTTTGTTGTTAAGTTAGTAATACAGTTGTTAAGTGAATCTGGCTTCCCCATTGACTTTGTTTGTCAGAAGGTCACATAACTTTGAGACATTGCTAATGTTATGGTATCAGTCCTATTTAATAATAAGATTTTCCTTGACAGTCCTGCTTGCTCCAGATGTTCTTCTGAACAAGGTCTCCCTCCAAAGTTATGGTGTCCAGATTCCAATTTTCAGGGGCCTAGCCTTGTGAAATGTTAGATCATCTCCCTCCTCTTAATGAAAGTTTAATTTCTTTTAAAGAGATTTTAAAAACGTTTTTTTATTATTTGAGTAGTGAGTTAGCATAGAGCCTGGTTATTTCTCCCTATCTGGGTTTATGGCTTGGCATTAAACGTATGGAGTAATTTCATTGGATGGACTTTTTAAATTGCAGCAAGTTTTAATTTGTACTGTGCACAATAAGCATTTTTAAAAATTGATAACCTGTGTTCTCCCCCCCCCCAACTGAAATAAATACCATATATTTCAGACTATAAGATGCGCTCTTCCCCCCCTCCCCCAAAAAAGTGGGTGGAAATGTCTGTGCATTTTATATAGCAAATATTGTGGTGGGGGAAGGGGAATTGGTGTGGCACCAATCAGCTGGCGAACAGGTAATGGTGAATAGGCTGTGGCGGCAGCAAATGGGTGGCAGAGGCAGATTTTTTTCCTTGTTTTCCTCCTCTAAAGCTAATGCACGTCTTATAGTCCAGAGCATCTTATAGTCCGAAAAATATAGTATGTAGAATCATAAAAGCAAAATATAGATTCTGAATCAACCTCTGAATTGGAAGAATGGCTTCAAACAAAATGCCTAAAATTAATAGTAAGAAACAATCTGTTGAGATTTAACTCTGCTGCATCATTAGAAGCGATGCCAACATTGGTAGATCAAATAGGTGAAGAAACACTATGTTTAATAATTATGCATGTAATCTAGAAGAATGTTGATGTATTTGTCCTGTTTTTTTCTTTTCAAACTGACCACTCAACCTGAGTAAAGGAGAAATTTGGACAGCCTTTTGTAAACAAAGAGCTATTGGGGCCCACATTACAAGAAAAATAGCAAATGAACTCATGGATGACTCTTTGGCAGCCAGGGTCTGACAGCAAGGTTAACTTTAGTACTGCAAATATTCAGAAACCAAAATACTTCTGTGGACATGCTTCACTGGCCATGACAAGTAGTGAATGAGCATTTATAAAACACTTAGTGTTGCAAAGCTGTTCAGCCTCCTTCAATTAAAAACAACAGGATCTGCAACCATTCTGGAAAACAGCAAAATGAAATAACTACTATCTTTAAAATTAAAAGTCAGATGTGTGGCAAAATGCTCTTAAGAAGAATGTTCACTGCTTAACATGTTAATTATTGCCTGTTGAGAAAAAGGAAGGAAGGAAGATTGACACCATTTGGAAGATCTAGTTCAGGGACAAGGAATCTTCAGCTCATTCTTGTACATGGCCCTATAGATGCCTTGCCCTATAAGAAGAGAATGTTATGAACAACTATTCTCGGCCTATTATAATTCTCAAGGAAATGGGTAGCCACCTCGCCATGCATTAACAGCTGGATCAAGGCATCACCCTAAGAAACGTAAAAGATAAAATGGATATTAGAGTAAATTTATTCAGCTACTAGGTTTTCTTGTCACCTAAACCAGTTTGTCTCCCTATAAATCTAGTTAAAGAAGATAAGGTGAGAATCTTGATTCTTGGCTGTAAATGGCTGTAGACTTGGACATTAATTTTTGCAACACATTTCCCCCCCTTGGGGATAGAAGTTAATTTCATATTAGTGATCTAGACCATGGCAATCAAATAGTCACCAGTGCCATATTTCAACACTACCCAAAGAAAAAATGTGCAGATGTTTTATGCTTGTACAGTAATACTTTGCAAACTGCAACCCTCTCTTTTTTTTTCCCCTGGGATCAGAGGAAAACATTACAGGTACAAATAAAAAGTAGCGGTCCTTTTTCTTTTCTTTTTTTCTCTCTAGGAGAAAAATGACTGCCTTGAAGAAGGATTTTTGATCAGCCTCACTATTGTGAGCTGCCCAAAATCTCACAAAATTGATGTTGTAGAAATATTGCAAAATAAAATTAAATAATTAATCAGGATGGGGGCATTGATAAAGGGGAGGAGGTATACACATACATACAAATATACACACATACAGTATACATATACTGTATGGAAATACATACATACATACATACATACATACATACATACATACATACATACATACATACATACATAGCATTTAGAGATATCCTGGAGTGCAATTGAACCCTTTTAAGTCAGATCATGTTTCCATTCTAGTTTACCTGGTTCCAGTGTTAACCAGATTATTTTTATGTGGTGAAAAAAATTAATGGAAGAGGAGAATAAATTGTATCCAGTGTACTTTATTACTCGGTCTCTTTAAAATCAGAACCAATTTATAATTTATAATTCTAGTCCTATTGCAATCAGAAACTAATATTCATCAAATTTTATTCTGCATTGCAACAATACATGTTGCTAAACACAGAGAGCTGGATTATTACCAAGTATCTTGCAAATATATAATATAATGGATTATGGAAGAGAGGATGGGTTCATTATTGCTGATATTATTATTAATGTTTTAAAAAGATAAGTGCCTAAATATTTACATAGCAATATTCAATATTATCCTCAAAGCACAACAAGGCAGTGGTTAAAATGATCTTCATATTATTGATTCCTTCTTGGAGTAATCAGTTGTGAAAATGAAATGCTTCTCAGTGAAGGAGTTCATTCAAATAATTTCAAATGAGTGAATTCCAATTAAATTGTAATTGTTTCAATTATTGTTTATTTCAATCATGTCTTTTAATTATATTTGTTTATGTTGCATTTCTTTATAGGAACAGAAAGATAAAATATTAGAATATTTTAAAATATTAATATTAAGGAATATATTACAGTATTTAAAACAATCACTTCAATGAAAAATGCAGGAAATCACAGCAGAAAAAGACCTTCTCCACCCGGATTTGAAATATAAAATTGAACATTACCCAGACTCCTGCCTAAGATATTCCCTACTGTCTTTTCCACTGCAGGTGCCTGCAGACAAACGGAACACGAGGTTGCCCCAACTGCCGGCGTTCATCAGTTAAACCAGGGTTTGTGTGATCTGCTGATGAACTGATGACCTAAGAAAATTCACCCAGAAGGTGTGAAAAGACGGAGTACTGGAGCAGTTCTGTTACATGATCTAGAGATGAAACCCATCATATAGATACAAAATCTCCTACAGAATTGATGGAAAATGCAGGCCTAGATCTTTGTCATGCCTTTTCACACAGTTGTCACACCTCTCCCAGGAATTCTGTGTCCTCCTTTTTCAAAGACGATACAATAAGCCACCTTTGCTCCTTCAACAATGTGTTTGCTTGATTTTCCACAATCTCAATTTGATTTTGATTTTAATTTTCTGCTTCTTTTGATAGCTTCTTTCAGGGCCAACTCTGACACTCATACTTCACTTATTTTTATTCATTCCTCATGGGAAGCATACTGATCCTGCCTACATAATGCTTCTTGGACTGGCACAGTATTGCTTTCTTGTATGCATGTTGACAGCTCCTCTTTTCCAGACATTGCTTGAAGTTACTTCAACTTAACATTCTGACTGATGTTTTTCTTAATTTATTTGGTACCTAACAGCGGTTAATGCTTTAAAACAACTGTTAAGCCATTCATAATATGTCATTTTCCATTTGCAAAGAACATTTCCCAAATTGATGCTCTCCAAATGATTTCCAGAAATTTTTAGTAGCCTGGGAATTGTGGGATTGAAAGTCGAAATTGTCTGGATTGGGCAACTGATTTTATGTCAGAGTCAAGAGACTGTGATGTCCCACCTGCCTCTCAGCAATGTAACTCTTTCAGTATGTCTCTATTTTCAATGTACAGGATCCTTCAGTTCTTCTGAAAGTATCTGATACCTTTAGTTTGCTTACATTCATTCTCACAGAACATTCAATTTCTGCATGGGACTGGGGTGTGGGGGGAGCCTTATAGTGTCCCAGGGAATGTTTCTTGTCTTGTATTCCTTTCCCATCATCTTGTAATGTTTTATGGGCTGTGATCGGTCCAATCATGGAATTGTGAGCAATATATTTATACTTTCTGTAAACTGTTTATACTGGAATAAATAAAATCGTAGCCTAGAAGTCAGTGTTTTCTAAAGTTGTAGCTATGTTTTCATCTTTTAGAAACTGCAGAAAGAAAGAATGAAAAAGATGTATATTGATTAAATATATATGTATGTTGTGGGGGATATATATGAATGATGGTATGAGTCATCTGCAAAATGGCTCAAAGGCACTAGCAGAGAAAGATCAAGGACAGATACTCGTATGCCCAGGGCACGATCAAGATAAAGGCAAATTTAGAACCTACAATATTCTAGGGAGCCAGAATAGTTCAAGCATAATATGTTGGAGGGATACGGAGAATTCAAGAAGCTGAATGTTGGAAGAAGGAGCATGGGAAAGAGGCTTCAGCAGGAGCTCAAGACAAGGAAGGAATATAAAGGAAATGAGAAGTATGAAATAAAAGCAGAAGTGAAGTGAAGCAACTGGGATATAAAGGTCAAGGATATAAATAGGAGATAGAAAAGTAAACATTACAGCTTTAGAGGGGAATACAAAATTAAAGAGAATAAAGAGTTAATAGACCATATATTACTTTTACCTAGTTTGATTCAAGTAAACTGTTGACCTCATAAATTAAGGTGGTATATCATTGTAGGCATATTAAGATAGAAATAAGATTATAGAGAAAATATAGAAATCAAAACTACAAAATTATATATTATAAAGAACAAGTGTATGAAAGATAATAAAATAAAACTATGGAATGAGATATGGAATAATGATTAAAGTGTAGCTGAAAAGGTATAGCAAAAGTTGAAAGTTTTACTTGGCAGATACTTGTCAATTTGTTGGAAATCCATCCCTACTATAGCTGGGTTGTGGATGAAGATCTGTCAACATATTTATAACAAGTTTACTCAGCACCAAATTGCTCTAACATGTCTAACAATACACAATTCTCATTATTGGGAAAGTGGAAGAATAGAAATCAGCCACCATCTATAAAAAGCTTTGCTTCTTCTATAAGAAGCCACTGTCTTTGTTTTGCCTAAGTTTGCGTAACCCTGAACTATAACAACCTTAGTAAGGCTCCCCTTATTCATGATAAAGGGAACCTAATAACTTGCACACATTGTAGGATATTTTCTAATTCCAAAAAGGCAGCCATTTTGTTAATTTGACCTGACCATCTTTTTTACTGATGAAGTGCAGTAGAAAAGCAAGTGATGTATATTAACTGTTAATTTGTTAATGGGAAAATGGAAACATAGTCCCCAATAGGAAATGCATTGATTTTGTGTTTAAGTATTTAATAAACATACTTTTTTACATAACCTGTCTACAGTCCTATATAAGCAGTACCATTTTTAAGATAAAATTATCAGTTTGTGATCAGTTTCTTTTAAACAGCTGAAAAATACTTTATAAAAACATAGTTTACTGTTCTCCAGGTTTATTAGGATTACAACCTGCAAGACAACTAAAAATACAAGCTTTCTTGATAGCAATAGCAATAGCAGTAGACTTATATACCGCTTCATAGGCCTTTCAGGCCTCTCTAAGCGGTTTACAGAGTGTCAGCATATTGCCCCCAACAATCTGGGTCCTCATTTTACCCACCTCGGAAGGATGGAAGGCTGAGTCAACCCTGAGCCGGTGAGATTTGAACCGCTGACCTGCTGATCTAGCAGTAGCCTGCAGTGCTGCATTTAACCACTGCGCCACCTTGGCTCATTCAGTATTTAGTTGCATCACCTTTAGTTGGAGTAACCAGATTCTTCTTGTAATTTGTAATCCCTCTTATGCATCCTTAATTTTACTATTACCCCAATGCCAAATCATAGAAAATATTAGTAGCATATATGACATTGCTCATAGAAATAAGTCAGTAGAGGAGACAGTAATTTTAAACAAATTCCTGATACAGTTCATAGTGATGAACTGTAGCTGGGAAAGGAATTTGGTACAAACCTTGGTTCTGCAGCATTCGCAGATAAGAGTCCTACGATGCAGATAGATGTGGGAACAGTACACCATGGTCCAATTACAATGGTTCAAAAGTTGAGCAGGAGTTGCAATGCCTATGCATTGCATATACACCTCTCAGGCATGAGATTTAATTTACGAGATCCTCCAGCTCTCTAGCTCTCTCTTTTTTTGTAGAGAGTGTGGTTTGTTATTTTAAAACTGAAGGCAAAATCCTGGGAAAACAATAAGATGTTGTGTCTGTTGTGTCTTTTTCATGTGGCTGTTGACAAAAATAGGATTGCCAACATAATCGTCAATATCCGATGGCAGATATTGCACAAGAGGTAGTCTGAGCTGGAAAGAAATGACGAATAATCTGTCTTTGAAAGCTCTGAAACAGCTGGAATTACTCTACAGAAACTTTTCTACTTTTGCTGCATCTATTATTAGTTGTATCCTTGTATAAGTGCATTCTATAACAGGCATGTTCTTGTATTCTCTTAACATTTTGTAATAACAGGATGGAGAAATTCTGCTTGCCATAGCACCACCTTGTGATCTACTGGGAGGATTAGATTTTTAACGGATTTCTTAAAAAAAAAACAATTGTACCTGCAGCATCAAAAAGCCTTCAAAATTTAAAATATTTTATAGTTTTGATTATTATTTTTTCTCTAGTAAGACTGAAGGGGAGAGAATAGCTGAAATCTCTACCATTGTGGCCTATAGCTGTAACACTACTGTATAAAGCCAAGCAATTCCATTAGATGAGGGATTTCATTTTTTTACGTTTTCATTGGCAGTAAAGCATTACAGATTATCAACCTTCCTCCCACCCCGCTACACACACTTTCTGGAGTTAAAGGAGGAGGTGCTGCCTGGAGATAAATGGTGGTCAAAGGAATCACCAAGGCACACTATCCCAAGGAGGCAAAGCTGATATTACAAAACATTTCTTGATTTTGAACACATGCTGCCACAGCTATCGATATCTGTGCGGGTATAAGATACAAGAACCAATAAGAACGCCAAATTAAATTGACAGCATTCTTAGTCTAAATTAGTGTTTGGGAGGGTGGGGGGTTTAAAAAACCTTGGCAACTTTTAAGATGTGAGAACTACAACTCCCAGAACTCCCCAGTTAGCATGTGGGAATCTTTTGCGAAAGAAAAAGAGTTTGAAAAATTGAAAACCGTGCATGAAATTTCAGACTAACACTAAAAGCGCGTTATCACGCCCGTGGTCCGCTCACGCGGGTGGCGTTTTCTTCCGGGCACCGAGAAAACCGGCCTTATGTGAAACCACCTGCCGACTCTGTTTATTTTTTATCTCTACGGACTCAAGGCGGGCTTCCGCTCTTGCCCCTGACTAAGATGGCGGCGAGATTTCAGCCGCGGAACTGAGAAAAATGCCACCCGCTCGGCAAGAATTGGGCGCGGTCACGTGATCGGGTCACCGTAACCGTGGCAGATTCGACAAGTAGCTCAAAGCTAACTAATTAAATTGAAAGGGCGGCGGAGGCCAATGTGGTGGCGATGCTAACAGGGGAAAAAAGCGTTGGTTTTCACGGCAGAGGAGAGAACCCTTGTTTTTCTCCAGCGTGTGGTATCTGCTCCCCGGAATTCAAAGATCAGCTCTTCTCCTGAGGGAAAAAAAATGGCGTCGGTTTGGGATGAGGCGGAGGTAAGGAAAGCCGGAGACGGCATTATTGCCGAGAATGTGGGGCCGGCGGCCAATATTAGTAGTGAGAACAGTCGCCTTGTGGTGGGAGGCGGGGGGGCTTGCAAAAATTCCCTAAGGGAGCGGGCCTGGCTGGGAAGGTCCGTGATCGGCAGAGCCTACCCGTTTGCCTTTTGCCATGACTGGCTGTTCTCTCTAGGATAGCATCGGGGAAGAGGTGTTGAAGATGTCCACGGAAGAGATCGTCCAGCGAACCCGCCTGCTGGATAGTGAGATCAAGGTCGGTTTAGCTGGGGTTTCCCGCCTTGGGAACCTGGGCTTAAAAGTTTCTCTTCTTTCTAGGGTGCCTACAAATTGTATTGAGTGCCTTTGCGATTCGGGCCGTCTGGGTGTTTTATATTCCCCCCTCTCTCCCTTGCAAGGCTACAGTCAGCAGGCCCTTTTTTTTTGCCCTGCTTTTGTAGAGAGAATGCTGAAAGCGAAAAACAATTTTTAAAAAAACGGCCTGACCCAAAAGCGTTCCCGGCGCCTCTTCAAAACCTGGCTAGCTTTGATTCTCTACAGCAGTGGTCTCCAACCTTGGCAACTTTAAGACTTGTGGACTTCAACTCCCAGAGTTCCTCAGCCAGCAAAGCTCTACAGAGTAGAGCTGTACTGCTCTACAGCGGTAATGTCTGAGGAATTCTGGGAGTTGAAGTCCGCCCAAAGGGCTGAGGTTGAGAAACACTGCTCCGGGGCAAAGCCGCCTGTGAGAAGGATGTCCTGTAGCCTTGGCGCTGATTCTTAAGCTGGCTTATTGGAGAGAAAGGGTGCTTTAATTATAGCTTGATCACAGGTTTAGGCTTTTAAACTGTGAAGCTGCGAGGAAAGAAACAACAGCAAGGCAGTCCGGGTGAGAGAACAAAAGATTGTAAATGCTAGAAATGGCAACTAGGAGATGCTCTGAGCCTTCTGGGGGTAGCCAAGTGACACGAAGGAAGTTTGGAGAGACTTCTCTCTCCAGCTTACCTTTGGTGTGGCACCGATTATAATTTCTGGTATGGTATACCAGAACATAGTATGGCCTTACAAATATCTAGTGCCCGTAGATATTTGTAAGGCCATACCATATTCTCTAGGAATCTGTGTTAATATGGATTGTGGCAGGCTGTAATAACTCATAGAGGAGAAAGGGCTTCTAAATTAAACCAATTTCATTGTACACTGTACATTGTACACAGGTTGTGCATTGACAATAAAGGTTTGAATTGTAATAACATCTGGCTGCAAAGGAATACATGGTATGCCAATAGATTGTTAGCTGACTAATGGGATGGCAGTATTGCTGGAACTGGTGGTGACAGTGAAGTTTGGAGGAATTCGGCATAAATCAATTTGATTATTCTTTTTTAAAATGCTGGTAAGCTGCATTTTTAATGTACTATGGGTTGCATAATTATGATGTAATCTATTTAAAAGTCAGCCGTTCAACCCAATTCTAAATTTGTTCACTGAGCTAACAGGTACAAAACTTAATTTGGTTCGTGGAAAGTTCACCCATTCTGGCATATTCCCATAAACTGTATCTCCTGTCTTTAGGCAATACTGTAATAGTGTTATGGGAATGAAATAAAGTGGCCTTTATTTTGTCTTTCCCTTATTATCATGTGAATGCATGATAGCCATATACTGATTCTCATGCAGTTTTCACAAGAGCTTGCTTGCTACACAATATTTTTAAAAATAATTGCTGATTTGTTTTTTCCTCAGAAAATGAATTCCACAAAACCGATTACCTCTATTAAAACCAAGTTATTTTGCTATTTCATTTTATTTTTGATTCATTTGGTTCCTAGTATTTCCCCTATTTTCATTATCTTCTTCCATATTTGCAGGAAAGCTAATAATTGCTTTTTAAGAATAATTGCTCTGGATTTTCAGATCATGAAGAGTGAAGTACTGAGAGTAACTCATGAGCTACAAGCAATGAAAGACAAGATTAAAGAAAATAGTGAAAAGATCAAAGTGAATAAAACTCTGCCATACCTTGTATCCAATGTCATAGAGGTATGTTTCTTACAGTATAACCAATAGCATCTATATTATAATTTTTGTATGAGTGAATTCCCTGAAGAAAAAAAATAGGAAATGGGGAGTGCGAAATGAGATTATTATAACTTGGTCCTGCTTAAAAAAGATGTCACTTTTTAATAATCTGACTTGATATTCTTTTTTGGTATAATTTCTCAGCTGCAATCCAAAAGATTTATGAAAGAGAATGAGTGTAATTTCAGAGTAAGCATGTATAAATCAGTGATTACAATCAGAAATCCTGTTTTTAAAAAAGAACTCAGGAAAATGTTGGAAGAAATGATTCTTGAAGTGGGATGACGGGTGATGCTAAGTTGCAGATACAAGAGTCAAATTTGTTTCTATCTTGCTAACCTGGCTGTTTTCAGAGAAAGGTAAACATAAAAATTGCATATTTTTATAGTACAGGTAGGCTGTTATAGGTGAAGTTGATTCTGTAAACATTCCCCTTTCAGGAAGAAACAGGATCACTGCCACAACTTGCTTTTTAGGTGAAAATAAGTGATCTACTGCCTGATTACATCAACTTAAGATTTATAATTAGATGATTTTATTACTTTATAGTTTATTTATGCATTTATTTCTGTGAGTCCCCTGCTTTCCTCAACAA